TACCCTGGGGGTCTTTAAGAGGAGGCTGGATGAACACCTTGCTGGGGTCATTTGACCCCAGTACTCTTTCCTGCCATGGCAGGGGGTTGGACTCGATGATCTGCTCAGGTCCCTTCTGACCCGACCAACTATGAAACTAGGGAACTATGAAACAACAACTCTGGGGAGGATCGAGGGGGCATGATGGGTAGGGAGCTACCAAATTCAAGCCAGAAGTGGGCTGCGTAGCAGCACCTTTAATCCTGCAGGTTCCCCCACATGGCTATCCCCCGCCACTTGCTGGTGATGGGGCACCAGTCACTCATGACTGGCAAAGGGGTGAAAACTGCAGTTTTAAATATGGTGCCATTTTTGCCTCCCGCTGCTGATTGGCCAAGGGGCACCAACAACTCCATTGTTTCTGCTGAGCAGCGGAGAGGCAAAAATGGCATCGTGTTTAAAACCACAGTTTTTGCTTTCGGTTCATCAGGGAAGTGAAAACCGCAGTTTTAAACATGACACCGTCATAAGGCACCAATATTTAACAATGAGTGTAATTAATTACTCGACAATTTCCTGAAAGAAAAAGTTGGTCCTCTATCCCCTGGCATCTTCAAATTAAGATTGGCTGTCTCTCTGTAAGATATTCTCTAGTCACATACAAGGTATCCGGCTTGACATAGGAGCAACTGCGTGAAATGTAACAGCAGACTTGTCTACACATGCCCCTTTTAGGCAGGATTAGCTGAAAACTGCTATTTTTAAAGTGCATTAAGGGTGCATGTCCACACTTGTGCCCTTAATGCACCTTAAAAATGGTGATTTTTAGGCTAATCCTGCCTAAATTTGATACCTGCTTAAAGCAAGGACCAAATTGAAGCTGGCATAGCTAAGTTGCATTAGCCCACATGTAAATGCTTAATGTGCATGAATGTGGTGTGCAATCCATGCACTGCATATTAGCATGGCTACATGTGGGCTAATGCAGCGTAGTTATGCCAGCCTAAATTTAATGTGCCTTAATGTGCATTAGCAGTACATCTACATGTAGACACGCACCTAAATCATCTTAATACGCCGTAAACAAAGGCGCATTAAGTTTAGGCATGTGTGACTACATGTGTAGACATGCTCAGCCAGTGATATAACCAGTGGATTAAAAAATTTATGGATCCCCATCAAACTCAGTGCAGTCAGTAAATTGAGTGATCCTGTCATGTCAGAGCCCACTGTGGCTATGCCCCAGCCAGTCTCATGCTTGAGGTCTCTGCTTATAAGTCTCTGAGGGCATTTGGCATCTGGTATGCATATGATAAAGGAAGTTCTTCAGTTTTGTTCCTTCTTGCCACTGATTTTCAAGATTGCATAAATCTTTTGCCTTTTACTAAAGATTTTTATTTTTCTAGGCCAAGAGACTCAAACATCTGCTCACTTCCAGCCTCGGCACAACCTCCCAAGTGCACTTTCTCTGATAGCTGGGTGCAATATTTATCCACAGAATGTAAATGGGAATTTGCCTCTGTACAGTGAGCTGAGCTCCCAAGTTCCCATGGAAACCACTTAGATGTTTTATATGAATGGATTATTGTACAAGGCAGAAAGCAATCCTTGACATCATCACTATAGGGGGCAGGTTTGGTGATTAAATGGGAACAATTAATAAAACACTGTAAAAAGCATCTGGAAATAAACAGGCAGGCAGCTACACGAGGCAAATAAAACAGGCCCAAAGTTTTCACTCTTGCCATGTTTGAGGAGTCAATCTTAGTGAAGTGAAATCCAGCCCACACACCAGCCCAGTGACCCTCATCTGGACCCTGGGATCCCATGAGTTTGACATTCCTGGGATAAAGCATTTCTTTAGTTCTCAGGTGTCGTGCTGAGGTTCAATTGCTTTGCACAGTTTTATGGCTTTCTGGCAAAAGAGAACATTGTGAGCATCCCATTCCTCCAAGCAAGAAACTTTTTACAAAGTTGGGCACAAGAAGGCATGCATCTTGATATTGTCCAAAAACTTTCTTAAAGTGTTTGAATCAACACGATTCCCATTATTTTCTGAGATAACCTTTAAGGATTTGGGAGAGAGAACTCAAAGCTTCTGTGTTTGCACCTTTCAAAGGTAGTCCAGAACCAGATGGCACATCTGTCCTGAAAGAATCCACTTTTCTCACTGTTATCTTCCCAATGTTTCACAACATTTAGAAGACATTATGTCATTTGTACTTTATTTCATTGATTTAGTTTAGGACTAACCTGTTCCTTTCATGGTGGGAAGGTGTTAAATATTGGGAAGGAACAGGTGTGATGGCATTGGAGAAGATGTTCAGGATTGCTGTAGGAGAAGCTGAAATGGTGAAATAGTGAAGGGAAGCATGGAATTTAAGTGTGCTTAAATGAAACCCAGCAACATTTAAATAATGACATTTATGTTCACAATCTTGTTTGCATTAGTTTTATGCCATGAAGACAATTGGAAAAGACAAGGAAAAAGAAGGAAGCAAATCTCAGTCATCTTTATGCAGGCCTTCAGAAAAGCACTGCTGAATAGATATATGAAGTCTAGCATTTATGTCACTTAAAAAAGAGTCCCAGTGCATGGCTCTGGAAAAGACAAGGAAAAAAGGAAGCAAATCTCAGAGGTGTGCGTTTCACTTTTCATTGCTGCAAACTTTAGGGCTTCAGATTTTGGGTCCTGGGACCCTCCTTTAAGGAATGTAAATGCTAGACTTTGAGACCTGGATTGTCCCTTATCTTCTGCTAGAGCTTTAAGAAGTCCCTGCTAGTAGTCCCTTAGTAGTCCTCTCTTGAGATGACTTGGGAGATGGTGGCTTACTACGAGGGCCTCAGTGAAAGAAGCAGTTGAAGCAAGTATGCATTTCCAGGTATATAATCTCTCTAAGATTTTTCTCCTTGGTTGCAGCCCTTTTGATTGGACACCTTGCCATGGAAAAATGATGTTCTCTTGCAGCCTGAATAATCTTCTCCCTTAGTAGTTCTCTCTTGAGATGCTTTAGGAGATGGTAGCTTACTATGAGGGTTTTGGTGAATGAAGCTGTTGAAGCAAGCGCACATCCATGACGCAGTTTTGCTCACAGAACCATGGCTATCATCATTTTTTCCTTAAGGACTGGTTCCATGAATTACTTGACATATATGTTTTGGGTGGTTACTTCTAGTTCATCTGTGATCTCCTTACGTGCCATTTGAACAACCGAGGAACAAAGCTTATTTACGTAGTATGAAACATCACCAGTGTTAGTCTTGTTTCTTTCTTGAGCGCCAGGACACCTTAATGACGTGTCATTGTGCTGGCACAGTGATGGATCTTTGAAGCTGTTACTACCTTTGTGTTTCTGTGGATTGCATGATTGACTCCAACTACATATTTCCAAGGGTCATTGCTGAGCCAGCTCACAATACTAAGTTCATCAGCTGAACCTTGTTTAAAAAGACAAACTGCTCCTTCAGTCTTAGACTGATTTTGTTCTTCATTGTCTTTTATTACAATGACCTCCTTTTCCTCCATATTTTCGAGTTCATTTGAATGTTCAGACACGTTGCTAGACCGGTTCGCAGCTTTCTTTGCTTTCAGATTTTTGTCTTTTACATTCAGACGGGAGATGTTGACAAAACAGATCACTTAGTCCTAGTCCTGGTCCTTCAGGTTTGTAGAGGTCTACTTTACACATACTTGCCTGACTGGGTAGCCAGTCAGCTTCCTGAGACATCTTTGCAGATTTCTGAGACATCTTTGGACTCAATGACAGAGGTTAGAAGTGGGTAGGGGGTATCTTCCAACAGGACTGTAAAGTGTTGACCTGCTGTGATGACCCTGCCAGACTTGATATTGCCTTTCTCAACTTCTTATGCTCTTTTACTGCCAAACCTGATGTTCACTGTGTTGACTCCTGGTTTCTATAGTAGCAGTGACATCACAGAGATTCAGTTTCACCAGCAGCGAGTGCTGTGCCAGCCTTCCAGTTACAACTCTGGGCTGGGCCAGGATTGGAGACGGGAACTGAGAACAGGCAGTGTCTTCCTCCGATGCTGTAAGTGAACCTTTCTGCCACCACATACACACGATGACTTTACTGGATGCAGGGAGTGTGAAGGAAGATTAATGAGGAGGTCTTGTGACTTTATGGGGTGGGCAATGCAAGGATGAGTTTGTGGGAGGGTAGGGCAGCCAGAAACTCAGCATGGGGTTCTAGAGAAGCTGAAACTTGGGCTATCTCCCCAACGCCCTCTTCTAGCCAGCCTGACTTCCTCTATTTAGGGGCGTACCAGCATCCCCCTTTTCCCACAGGACAGTCAAACATTAGGAGATGCTGAAACCCATGCCAATAACAAGTCTATCCTCATGCAGGGGCCTCCAGTCTATAACTAGTGGGAACAGGATAAAGTAAAGACTGATAAACCAGGATCCTCATCATCCACAAGTGACAGAAAGTCCTAATGCTTGATGTTGAAGTAGGACGAAGAGTAAGGAAGTGGATCGTGTTGAACCTGAGTACATATGCATGTTTACAGGAAGCCAGTTGCCAAGATACTGAATGGGGGGTTGTGTGGGGTGCTAGTGGGACAGGACCCAATAACACAAGTTAGAAGTCGGTAGGGGGCATCTTCCAACAGGACTTGCTTGAGACAAGAGAATATTATGGGGGTTATAGGATGGCTTTCACTTCCTAGAGTGATTGGTGGGATGGCACGTGGATGACCCCATGAGCCTTGTGAGAATGGATTTCCAACCCTGCCCACTAACGGTGAGTATTATATTATATAGCAGTGGTTCCATGAGGAGGTCTTCCACATTGGCATCTTCCACAGACTGGGTCACCAAAACTAGCTTCTAGGTCCTGAAGAAGCCATGATGGAAGAATAGCAGTCCAGCGAGATCTTGAGGGAGACCTCTTGTATGGCAAAGCTGGCCATTGCCTATGAAAGCTCAGGCCTCTCTGAGCCAGTTAGTTTGAAGTCAGGCAGAACATGGCAGGGTGACACTTTAGAGGCTCACACAGCTAACTACCTCATAGACATGCCTGTACATCTGGCATGGATCCAGGTATACCAGTATAAGGCTCTCGCACCAGTATTTTCCATTCCATAAGGGAATCACTGCACCACTAGTATGCAAATATAACAGCACAGCAAGCAAGGACCGGACACCTGGGTGTATGAGCCAGTGAAACTGTACCAGGTTCTCCGGCACGTTGCAGAGAAAGGGTGCTTTCCCTGGATACGCTCTTTACTTCTTGCTGCCAATTCCTCTCTAACAAGAAAAGCTCTGTGCCAGTTCCATTTGGCTACCTTAGATGCTGCTGGTGCTATTGCTGTTGAGCCAGCTACATTATTTTCACCTGCCATCCTTTACAGTGGTGGACTGAGATGAGGCTGTAGGGGAGGAGGCGGCCTCACTGGGGCACACTGCCGTGTTGTGCAGAGGCCCCAGTACCAGGAAGGGTGCACCTCTATAACACAGACACAATGTCACAAACACCCACGTCACGAGTTTTGCCTGTCGACAGTCAGAGGTACAGGGTCCCAGAACCCCGAGCGCTGCTGCACTCATGTCGTTGAGAGCCGGCAGGTTTCGTGGCCACAGCAGGGGCTAGCAAGCCTGCAGTTTTGACCCTACTGTGGCTTCACACGCAAGTGACAGGAGTTTGGTGCTCAAGATTTTGGGGTGCAATTTCTCTGAACCCCCTAAACCTAACTTGTTGAAACTTGTCAGGCTTCATTGTCTCAGCAGGGACTAGCACGCCTGCAGGTTTGACCCTGCTGTGGCTTAACACATACAAGTGACATGAGTTTTTCTCTCACCATTTTGGGGTGCAGTTTCTCTGAACCCCCTGCACCTAGCTTCAGGAAACTTGTAATGCATCGTGCTCCTAGACGAGGCTACCATTCCTGCAAGTTTCATCCAAACACTTCCATTTCGCACAGCCCTACTGGATAGCACTGTGGGGCTGAGAACAGATCACCTGGAAACACAACTAAAACATCTGGTGGTAGAAAGAGTAGTTAGTGAAAATAATCATTGTCTGCTTTTGTTTCATGAAGCACAGTTGTGTTTTGTGTGGGTGAGTATTTCATGGAAGTATAAATTAGAGTTTTCTTTAACAATCTTTTTGCAGCAGGATGTTGGCTGCCATGGTCTGCTTTATGTGTGGCAGATTAGGATGTTATGTCTTCTGGGTGTGTCAGGGTTGCGTGTGTAGTTTTGCTAATCGGTTAAACAATGGATTTGGATAGAATAGTTTAGATAGGAATGATCCTGTCACCTCAGGCAGGGGGTTGGACTAGATGACCTGTGGAGATCCCTTCTAGCCCTATTTCTCTATGATTCTATGAAATATAGACAATAAGGGGGAAAACAGACATTCCCAAGTACTTTTGGGAAGGCAAAGTGATGAGGACTTTATTTACAAAAAGCTTCTTCCTAGGGCTGCCTCTACAGGTCTGAATTCCAGTTATCAGTGATAAATCTTCCATACCTAGAGATCAAGGCCTTTTGCATGACAGGCTTTTCTGTCTCTTTGTCAGAATAAAGAGTTAAACCACTTAGGGGTAGATAAAGAACTGCACATTTTAACCCCATGCTTCCCACAATCTTGTCAAAACCCAATGGATTACTTGGTAATTTTAAAATCTGAAACAAAGTCAAGCAAATCATAAATTGTTCAAGAGCAACTCACTGAAAAAAGCAAAATGCATCAAATATACACAAATTGGTCACACATGAGCCCTCTAGTCCTAGTTGGGAGGCCTAATCAAGGCACATTTTAATAAAGCATGTGGCTATCCTAGAAAGAAAGGACTCATAAATTATGAGAGCAGTATACTATGATGCTACAGTGGGCCTGCAAATGTATAGTCAAGGATAGGACAGGTCCTTGGTTACACTGCAGATTAGGATCAATTTAAGTCTTTGCGATAGAACTTGGTGCGGTTACATCTTTGGAAACCCCTACTTTAGACAAAGGACAGCAGCGATTTCTATTAACTGAGACTGTTCCTTCCAATCAGCATCCATAGCACCTAGGGGCACATTTCAGTACAGCTACAGTGAGAGTTGGATTGATGCTATTTGCTGATATAGACCCGGCCTACCAGAGTGCACTGCCTGCCTTCTGCAATGCTCTTTCTCTAAATTCTGTGCTGCTGATGACACTTGTCCCTAGACCAGAGCTGATTGTACTAGACACTCCCAATCTGTGGAATGAAAAGCAATTGGAATTGGAATGAATGAAGAGCCCTAAAGTATCACCAGTTAATCAATTTCAAATTTTAATAGCTAATGAATAAACCTTAGGTAATGGTTTGGATCTGCAGCTCTTGGCTGAATGACATTTCAGCATCCTGTGGATTGTGGATTGCTTTTCTGCTTTCACTCAGACACTCGCAATCTTCTTTTGCTGCTGACACAGGTAATGATTTGGTCTGGCTCCATCCCTGTTGCAGCTCTAGAATATAAAAGAAACTCAGGGAAAATGTCAGGTATCCTTTTTATTCCAGTGATCACAGGAGTCATGTGAGCTCCTCACCTGGAAAGCCTGGATGGGTGCAGTGGTTCTATCCACACAACCACAATAGCTCACTGTACTTTGAGAGGGAGATAACTCACTTACTGCTCATTTAAGGAGAAATGGGGCCAAAGGACTTGCACTTACTTACACGAGTGGTAACACTGGTGCAGTGCTAGTACATTACATTGCATTGAATATACCTAAAGATTTTGACAACTCACAGATTCACAATATACACAGACAGCAGGGCCTCTTGGGGAAAAAATGGGTTGGGGGGAGGCGGGGATCTAGGGAATCTCTGCGCGTTTGCGTACCTATGCAGAGGCTGCCAGCGATGGTCTTTCCATGCATTCCTGAGCACTAAAATCAGGGATCTACTCCACAGCACAGCCACTGCAAGTGCCAACTTCCAGGAGGAAAAAAGCAATGAGTGGAGCCATGAAGCTCTCTATACTGCCCTACTGCCCATTTGGTCCTAAGGCAGCGATTCTCAACTGAGGTGACATGAGATCCTTTTAAGGGTGTTGTGGAGGGCTGTACAATATTAGCACCATTCGGTGCCACCTACACATGAGGTAAGGTCAGGTGAACCCAGAGATTGCAAATAGCAATCCATAGCATCATAAATGTGTCACCTGTTGTAGTCTGAGTTTTTGCAACAGAAGCATCGCTCCATTATTTTTCTGTAGTCAAAAAATGAATGAAGTTAGTTTTTGAAAGAGGTTGCTAGTAAATTCAGAAAAGTAATAGAGGGGCGCCTTGAGTTTAAAAGGGGTTGAGAACCACTGTCCTAGGCAATGCATCCCCAAAACAAACCTGTCTTGGATTGCAAAGAATAGTAAAGCCCCAAACACAAAATTTTGGGGAAAATAATGGAGCATTTTAATTAGTTTTCTTCCTGAGGTCTTCCTACTTCCTTAACAGAACCCACGTGGTATCCTCAAATTCAGTGATTCTCAGCCAGGGTGATGCAGAACCCTAGGGTATTATAAGAACCTTTTAGGCATGCCATGGGGTGCCATACAATATTGGCACTCTTAGGTGTGCAAACACCTACATAATTCACAAGATAAATCCTGAGATTTCAAACAGGAAACCATAGCATCAGAAACATTCTCACCTGTTTTGAGAGACAGACCTCTTTTGGTGGAAGAGGAAATGAAAGTGCATCTTTCTTCAATGCAACCACAAATTCAAGATATTTGCACGGGTTACTAAGCCCAAGTGTTTCATCAATTATAACGTTATGGTTATTCACGTGTGTTTTTCCTATTGTTTTAAAAATGTGTTTTCCAATCATACATGGTTGTACAGCTCCTAACATAGCTGGTTCAGGACTGAGTTGCTAGGAATAACTGCAGTGCAAATGAACAAGCAATAATTTGGATATTGCTGAGGGAAAAGGGCAGGAGTAATCTTCCCTATATCCATGTAACACGATAATGTTTTTTTATAATCTAGGCTCTGTAAATTAAATAAGGACTCCCAACTATCATACATTAGGCCTGGAAAAGGGGTCAGAGGTAGGGAAGACACGTTACTTCATCTGTTTTTATGAGACAGTTTAAAAGTAAAGTCTGGCCCACATTTCTTAGGAAAAAGCATATGCTTTGTGTTTGCATTTAAAACACCATTAAGATAAAAAAAGTCGGTGAAGAGGGAGATACCAAATGTGTTTCATAGAATCATAAAATAATTTAAAATTAGGGCTGGAAGGGATCTCAGGAGGTCACATCTAGTCCAACCCCCTGCTCAAAGCAGGACCATCTCCAGCTGTATCATCCCAGCCAGGACTTTGTCTAGCTGGGCCTTAAAAGCCTCCAAAGATGGAGATTCCACAACTTCTCTGGGTAACCTGTTCCAGTGTTTTACTACTCTGCTAGTGAGAAAGTTTTTTCTTAATATCTAACCTAAACTTCCTTTGCTACAACTCAAGACCATTGGTCCTTGTTTTGTCATCTGCCACCACTGAGAATAGTCCAGCTCCATCCTCTTTTGAACCTCCCTTCAGGTAGTTGAAGTCAGCTTTTAAATCCCCTCTCAGTTTTCTCTTTTCCAGACTAAATAAGACCACTTCCCTCAGCCTCTCCTCCTAAGTCATGTGCCCCAGTCCCCTAAAATTTTTCATTGCCCTCCTCTGCTTGTCCACATTCTGTAGCGGGGGGCCCAAAACTGGACAATCGTACTCCAGATGTGGCCTCACCAGTGGCAAATGGAGGGGAATAATCACTTCCTGAGATCTGCTGGCAACCTCCTATTAATGCAGCCCATTATGCCATTAGCTGCCTTTGCAACAAGGGAATACTGGTAGCTCATAGTTAGCTTACTGTCCACTGTAACCCCCAGGTCCTTTTCTGCAGAGCTGCTGCTACTTAGCCAGTTGGTCCCCAGCCTGTACTGGTGCATGGGATTGTTCCATCCTAAGTGCAGGACTTTGCACTTGTCCTTATTGAACCTCATGAGACTTGTTTTGATCCAATCCTCTAATGGACTGAGGTCTCTGAATCCTAGCCCTTCCCTCCAGAATATCTACTACTCCCCGCAGCTTGGTGTCATCTGCAAACTTGCTGAGGGTGCACGCTATGTCATCTTCCAGGTCACTGAGGAAAACGTTGAGGAAATGATTTTCACTCTGGAACTGGCTGAAATAAGATTAAAAACCAGAAGATTCTGCACCCTGGATCCTCAGTTCCCAACTATTCCAGGTCTAGCAAAGGAAACAAAGCATGTTTGCCTTTTGGAGAACAAAGCTGGGAGCTGGTATAGTTTCCCCACCTCAATTTTGGGAGTTGGTTTATTCTACAAAAAATTGTCTTGATACTAACCAAGAAAGTCCAAGACCGATTCTGCAAATGCTTCTGGTTATACTTGAAATCGATGGGACTGGTATTCAGGTGAGGTTAAGCCTCTTTGTGAGTGACCATAAGCTTGGACCTGTGCAGTTTCAATCGGAGCTTAGTAACGGACCAGTTGATGCCCAGATTCAAAGAAGCACAAAAGTGCATAGTTAAATTCTACTGAATGTTTTATCTGCTGGTGTTAGTGACTGTGGGCTCAATCCTGCTCCACTGAGCCAAAGGGAAGCTATTTCATTGAATGGTGGGAGCAGATAAGACCCCAAAATACGTTTGTTCGGCTTTTTCCTTTTGTGAGCTCTGCAGAGCCATCCCCGCTATAGGGGAGGGGGCTGGGATCAGTTCCTCCTCATGCACCAGCAGGGGTGTTAACTGCATTACCATCCATTGCACCTGTGCAGACCCTTGGAGGGCAACAGGTGCCGCTGAGGGGAGAGCTGGAAGACAGCAGAGGAGCTCTAGAGTCACTCACGGTCTAATTTGGCCTGAAGAACCACATCCATTGGTAGTGATGTGAGAAGGAAAGAGCTTGGCTTGATTCTCAGCTCCTAGGCTGATAAGAAAGGGCTGATGGGTAGGAAAAGCGCCTTTTCACTTAAAAACAGAGCAGATTTCCTCTGGGGAGATGGGTTAAAGGTCCCTGTGGAGCTCTGCCATGCCGTTTTTCACTGACACTTCATACAACAGCAGGACAGATCCTGTTATTGTTATTCTTCTGTCATTGTACTTTTCTTCAGGCTCGTACTCAGACTGAGCACTGCACCAGTGCTATTTTGCGAAACTGCCACCAGGGATATGCACACGAGCTTGCTCACTTAAACACGCAATTAACCATACCCAACAAGCATCAGGCCCTCAGTGAACTCCACTGGAGACATGGCTACTTATTTTACTCAGAAGGTGCTGGATAGCAGGATAACATTTGGAGGAAAAGAAAGAGATGAAGGCAAGCTTTGCTTCCTGATGAACTGTCACTCCCCTCACCCCAGCAACATTAGAGGCATCACAAAACCTGCATTAATGGGCCCACCAGAGGGGAGAAGTTGATTCTATTTTAATGAGAACATTGTTCGGCAAGAGCGTGGAGTGTGGCACAAGAGAGGAAAGCAGGTGGTTTCTTCCTTTAGGAAGCTGCCTGGGGTGTGGTCTATGTCACTGTTTCGAGACACAGTACAAGATATAGGCTTTCAGTCCTTCTGGAGGAACTGTTGTAAATACAAGAAGATAATGTATTCGAGGAGAAGAAACCCAGTTTTAATAACAGCTTTGACAGCAATTTGAACACTTATTTCATGTGATTTTCCCCTACCACCCTGACCCCTTTCCCCATTACAGTTTGGGTGATGAGTTGCAGTTATGACCTGTGCAAAAGCTATAACATCCTACCTGGCAAATACTGCTGTAAGAGAATACACTTTATACATTTATATTGGACCTGGGACTGGGAAGGGGGAGAGGGAGGGGGGCTGGGGAATGCTAAGCAGTTAAATTTACACTTTACATTTGTACACCAGTTCAGATGGAATGGCTCAAATAAAACAAATATATATATTTTATATATACAAATATATAATATATATATCTATGTGGTCAGATATATATATATATCTCTTTCAAAAGGATAAAAGGTTAAATAAGTCTTTGCATGCACAACCAAAACCTCTGCTCCACACCACCACAAAAGTTAGCTAAGGCTCAGCACTGGAGCGAACTGCAGTCAGGTCACTACTCATCACCTGTCCCTGCCGCCAGATTCCCCCACCATATCCTCACTCTTTCCAAATATTGATGAACGAACTGGTAGCACGGGGTAGGGCAGGGACAAGGAAATCTCACTGGAGAGTAGTGAGCCAAAAGTCTAGGTTGTCCATCTAGGCTAGATCCCACCTGCTGAAGCATGGCTTGGGGGAGACAAAAGCACATTATTGCTATTCAGACCACAACGCCTCTCAAAACAAAGAGGTATCGCACAATCCCATTCACAATACCAGAGCCTACTCCCTCTTCGGAAGTTGTGTGCACATTCGTAACACTCCCAACTGCTGCACCGACGAGAGCAAGTGAACGTAAGAAGAATGATCATACCTACTTCCCTGATACCTTACCAAGTCTCTCTCTGCGTTTCAGACGAGAAGCAATTTCCCTGCCAACTGGAAGTAGTCAGACAGACCAGCAGGAAAAAGAAAACCCAAGGCAAAATATTTGGATACTATGAAACACTGCTGAGATTCCCACGGGGCTAAACATCCACCCTCTTTGAAGAAACACCTGCAGGGGTCATCCTAAAGCTTTCATTTTGGCAGGCAGTTTAGAAAACACCGGCCTTTCATGGTTAAGGAGGACACAGAAAGTGACACTTCTCTATCTCTGTGATATGGAAATAGTTCTCATTCCTTGACTTTTATGCAAGGGATGGAGACAAAATGGGCATTAACAACAAAGCAGTACAGCTGGGGCAGAAGGGCAAGGATTTCACCAGCTACAGAATAAGGGGACAGAGAACAGCCACTTCCCACCCATTTGGTGACAGAGGTGAAACCTGAGCCAAGCCTATTGGGCACTACAGCTGCAAGGACCACCCGTCCCTTTCTCCCTTGAGCCAAATGAAACGGAGAGAGGGGGAGAGTGAGTGCACGTGCTGGGGCAGACAGATTATTTTTGGAAAAAGGTTGAAAGCTTGAAAGCGAGGTAATTAGGCACCAAGTCAAAAGGCAAAGTTTGGATAAGGCAAAACAAACAGACAAATAAGAAACAGAAATTGCACCAGAAATGCATTTGCCACTAAGACCGGCTATCCCATTTTCTCAGCACACATCTGTCCATCTCACGCTGGCAGCAGATGAACGGAGCCCCGACTGAAAGGAAACTTGGCAAGATCGTGGGAGGTGCCTCCCCCAGGAGTGCTAATGGGATCACATGTATGTACAAGAGTCACCATGGGAAAGGGACTGTGTGTCATAGGGCGGTGCTTTCCGACTCTTCCTCCTCCTCTTCCAAATCACCTTTCCTTGTTACTGAATGTCTCTGGATATGTTCCAGTGGATCCCGGTGGAGTGCAGTATCAATCTCTATATGTATAGAAGGGATATCAAAGTGGACGAGATCTGCAATTGGGTACAGAAAAGCAGTGTTAAAAGGCTGCTGCAGGGGAATTTGCTAATGCATATGAGTGATATTGGGGAAGAAGGAGCTTGGGAGGCATTGCTTTTTTCTTAGCAGCAAATACGCTTCTAAGGGCTAGTAAATTGTTAATGTCAGAGAACAGGGATGTCATAATAAAGACTTGGTTTGTACCTTCCATCATTTTTGCATCCTCTTCTGAGTCTCTCCTGCATTAGGTATCACTGCCCAAGCAATTGGCACCTCTCTCTGATCCTTCTCACCAGTGCCACATGCCAAGTGTCCATGCCCAGCAGCTAGTTTTCAAGCTGTATGGTCCAGCACTTTCTTTTGCCCCTTTTCAGTATTAGATCATTTCTCATTTGAAACTTGCGGAGGCCCTGTCAATCATTTTTCATCACAGACAGAGCTGGAAAATGCTACTAAGCCATCACAGATGCTCCAATGACAGTGCAAGACTGGTCCCCACAGCATGCTTGCAATTGTTTTGTCTAATCTAGATATAAACATGTGCAGGAGAGGATCTGGGATTTGTATGGTAGGTCTCATACTAGGGAAGCTACTACCTCTCACCTATTGATGGATATTTCTTAAATCTCTTCTTTCTAAGATGCCCATATTCAGCCCCTTCTATCTTTTTTAGGCCGGAGGCAATTGATAGTATTTGTGAACATAGAGAATAATTCTTGCTACAGATGGGTCAAAAGAAAAGCTCCGGAGCCAACCTTCTTGAACTTCAGAGCACCTCAGAAAATGAATCTCCTAAGTTCTGAATTCTGTTTGGTTCTGCAAAACCACACCCCAACCAAGAAGGACCTGAAAAACTAGAGACAAAGCTCCTCCACCTACCTCTAACTCTTACACATCCCAGTTGGATGCAGTCTGCAAGGCCCTTGGGCTCTTTACTAGAGGTTCACAGAATGGCTTAATTAGAGAACCAAGCAATCAGTGGGAGGGGAACACGAGACAGAGAGAGAGAGACAGAGAGAGACAGCAGTGAGGGGGCCTTGCTCCTGGCAGGAGGGTCTCCCTGCTTCAAAGTCCAGAGGAATCTCAGGCACGGGCCCTGCGTATGCAGAAAAGTAGAGGAATCAAGAAGACCCCAACATTCAAACATCTACCCAAAAGAGTTCAGATTTTGCTGGTAAGGTTGTCCCTTGCCTGGTTCCTGGGAGGGGCACAGAGGTATTACTTGGACACTGACACTGGATGGTCAGCTGTTTGGGCTGGAGGTTAGGAACAGTGCAGCATTAATGGGATCATGATCTGGATGGTCTCTGGACTCGGCTGTAATACACAGTCATCACGGTGAAGATGATCAGACTCCCTCTTGCTCTACAAATGCAGAGCTGTGGAGAGGAGCTTGAGATAATACTCATCTCAAGATATTCAAGGTAATGCTTACTCTTATAAGCATCTCTACCTCATAGGACAGGAACAAACGCTATGGCAGAGCTTCATGCCCCAGGCCACAGAACTGCTGTGAACCCAATAATAGAGTTTCCTTTTACTCTTATATTAATGTAATTTTTTTTTTCCTATTGGAACTTTCTTCCTTGAGCAATGGGCCTTACTGACTGTGACTAGGAGCGACACTGCTGGGCCTTTCTGCCGGATCACAGTTGCTAAACACAGGAAGGATCCTAGGGAAAGCAGGAAGACGCTGGCCTCTAGCAGCAGGATAGGGGGTAGTGTCTAAAACTTCAAGCCTGGATCAGTAGATCAGGCCCAGGAGAGGAAGAAGGGGGGCAGGCATTTGCAGAGCAACGGGTAGGAAGTTAGATGTTGGATTCCCATTAGCCCCCAGTCGTGCACTTTATGTTGAATCAGTCTAATCCTCCAGCTGGAAGGAGTAGACTCTGTTCCTGTGCTTATAAAAAATGTTGCTGGAGAGACACAAAGTGTTTCTGTCCGGCAGGTGAGGTTACTGCCTCGTGGGCACCAGCACCTCTTCCCAGCCCAGGGGACAGCCTGCTCCCCACCTCAAAGGGCACCGACTATGGCTACACTTGCATTGTGTGGATTTCCATGCCCACTGACAGGAGGCCTGTCCAGGGATTGATCTTCATTTCTGGGTCCCTGTGCTGCAGATGTTCTAGGCCTTCCGCACACAGCCCAGTGACACTTCTCAAGACTGGGATGGCACCACCCCCTGGACAGTTATATTCCCAGGGGAGAAGACCCAAATGCTGTCTGTCCTTCCAAAAGGCAGCACCCAATTGCTGCTGTCGACGAGTGAGAGGAGGCTGACCCGAGTCCCAGTGCAGGTAGGATTGTTAACCCCTAGAAATGGAAAGAGTTTGCAGCCATGGGACAGTGGGGCTGGAGGGGGGACTCCAGGGCAAAAAACTCCCCTTTATCACCAGTTCTGCACTGATCTCCTCTGCACCACTTTTTCTTATCAGAAATAGGGGACTATAGTTTATAGTGGTGTAAACAGCCTCAGCAAAGGTCTTCCAGTCACAGAGCCAGGACTTGACCCTGTGCTGAAGGTGAGTCACCAAGGTGAATGGAAGGTGGGAGGCTTTTTATCTGTCCATATGTGGAAGGGGCTCTTTCAGTTATCTCAGTGTCTAATGGATGGAGTTACACTGAGTATGTGGTCAGAGAAAGATTAAAAGGAAGGCAAGGCGGAAGGTTAAAGAAACTGAACCTGCGTTACCCAAGCTCCCACCCTTCATGTCAGAGACCAGCCTTGGACTTAAAAGGATTAAAAGGGAACTCTATGGAAAGTCCTCAGCACAGACCGAGATACACTTGCTATGGACAATCCTTCAAAACCTGGAGCTTCAGCACCAGCTAGCCCAGGGGTGGGCAGTTTATGGCCTGTAGGCCAGATTCAGACCCGTGCTTTTGGATTTGGCCTGTGGAGCTGTAGCTTTGGTTGATTTTGGCAGGGGCAGCTCTGCCTGTGCTGTGCTGCCTTCCCAAACTCACACTGCAGTCATGCACCCAGGGGTATGAGGGAGGTAGCC